CATGACTTCGCCAATAGCGGAGTTGAAGTGGGAAGGTGACAATGGGCATCCTTGTCTCACACCGCTGGAAATATTGAAGGACGGCGACAACTAGCCGTAAGCCCTCACTCTGCCTGAGCTACACGCGTATAATGCTCGGATAATATTTCCATATTTCTCAGGTACAACTTTACTGAGTAGACAGTCCCAAAGTGCACATCTAGCCACCGAATCGATTATACCTTTGATATCGAGGAACACGACTACGGTGGGCCGCCAATATATGTGACGGTGGTCCAACGACTGACGCAAAGTGAAGATGTGCTCAACGCAGCCACGAACTCGACAAATTCCGACTTGCTCTTCACGAATCTGACTTTCACGAGTGCCAGTCCGTCTGTGAAGGATGACAGAGGCAAACAATTTGGAGGCGGGGGAGACCACACTGATTCCTCTATGGCTGCCGCATTCCGATCGTGAGCCTCCCTGGAAAATTGGGACTATTACGGAGCCGCTCCAGTCGGTTGGGACAGTTTCACTAGTAACTCGTATAAATCATCCACAAGAGCAACTCCCCCGAATTTGAAGAGGGCTGGAGGAAGATCATCTGGTCCTGCGGCTTTATTTAACTTCAACAATCCGATCTCACGTTCGACTACTGAGCGAGAGGGTGGATCCAGAGTGACAGTTCAGAGAGCAGGGTGATCAATTGCCGGCGAGTAATCTAACAATTCCGATCGATTAAATTGCCTTTCAAAGTGCTCAGCCCAACGCTCCAATCAGTTTGACAAATTGTGGATAGACGGTCCAATCACATCACAAATTGTTTCACTAACACCAGGTCTCCTGCTGCCCGTTTCCCGTATCAGCCGGAATAACTTACGAAGGTTACCAAGGGCAGCGGCTATTTCCATCTCTGATGCACCATGAGACCACCAGGATTCGCGGATTCCCTTCAGGCTAGCACGGAGCTGTGTCCGAAGCTCTTTGCGAGTTTCATTGTGTTCGCTTCCAGCCGGAATATGCCGGCGAGTATCGATAAGTTCCAGAGAATGCGAAGAGACCCAATGTCCATGTTGGCGATTAGATTTGCCACATAAGGATTATCCTGCTGCTAGTAGGGTCTGGTGAATATGAGACCAGTAAGCGCTTATTCAACTCGCATTACAGCGTACTTTGATAGGCATTCAGAACAGATAGCGTCGCCAGTTGGCTGGTGTCAATGCGCTCACAAAGTCGTCGTGGGTGTCCGCCGAAACGCATCCGCAGGTCAGCACATACAAGTGCATGGTCGGTGTCTACACATGTGCTCCAAATCGAGCCACAGTTCCGGACGCAGACACTCCATCGGTAACTTATCGCAATGTGATCGATTTGCGTCAATAGCTAGTTCGAGGCTGGTGGGCGTCGAGTCACTCTCTGGCGGGTGCTGCGTCAGAAATTAGTGCTCGCAAGAAATAAGCGAGCATCCTCACACAAATGAAGTAACCGTTTATCGCTATCATTATGCGATCCTACACCATAGTGGCCGCCCAGATGCAATTCATCAGTGAATAATTTTCCAACTTGAGCGTTCAGATCCCCAGCCAGTACAACAGTGTCAGAGCTCATTCTGTGGCGAAGCAGCTCGTTCAGTTGACGATGGAAATCGCTTTTTACCGAGTCATCGTTACAGTTTGTGGGTGCCTAAGCAGCGATCACAAATAGACACCTGTTAGTCCAGCGCGACATTGAAGCTTTGAACGAGCCAGTCAATCGGACCGCACACATCCGGCTACTGATTGGGATCCAATCAACCAGAGCAGCTTCAGCCCGGGGACTCAGGGCAATGCCAACACCAGCTTGGTCGGTACACGAAGCTGCCTTGTCACCGGATAAGCGCAATGAGAAAGTGCTGCTAGTGTCACCTGAAGGGGATCGCAGAGTGAGCACAGAGCTGGAGTCTTGCAGGCGGGTCTCCGATAAGTAGCAGATATCGATCGAAAGGGTCTCTGATGTTCGGGCAAGTGCTGCCTGTTGACCGATCAGCAGCAATGTGTGTACATTGAGGCATGCCAATCTGAAGGATGATCGAGGTCTCCAAATGGAAGCCGATGAACTGGGCTTGACCACTGGCTTAGACATGGGCTTTTCAACAGGGCAGGAAAGACGCTCCGCGTTCACATGTGAGTCAAAACTAAAAGACTATGAAAGCAAGGTGAAGGGGGCCAAGAATGCGGGTTGAAAACTGGGGAGATAAAAGTAAAGCTAGAACGGGATGGTAAGAGTGAAAAAGCGTAAGAGAGGGAATAGAAAGATGGGTAGACTTGAGAAGTAGCATTCTAACCCCTATCCACCCTGCTCGATGCAGCAGATAGGGCATGGTTGGTTATCCTCTGCGGTGGCCAGAGCATCAAAAAATAGTTTGACGAAAGATCCATAGTATTGCGTGGGCAGGGTACTGTCAGGTTGTCCAGACATAGGCAGGGTTGTCAATCAAAATCTTTAGTTCAGAAACCTGACCACAAGGCAGCGGGTTTGGCGTTGGGTTCCAAGGATTCCATTTTAAGGAACAAGGAGCCACCCTCATTCCAACCCCAACCTGGAGGACCAGTAGGCTGAGTTTGTCCGGCCTCTAACGATTGACCAATCTGGTGTAAGTGGCTCTGAAGGTGCGAAAAAGCACCATCCAGCATAGCTCAATGGATCACTGAGACACAAACCATCGCACCACGGTAAGGTCCAGCCTCATTGCGATGGGGTAGAAGTCATCGTTTCTGGAGTCATCTATACACTTTGTGGGGACGCAGGTAGTAAAAAGTTGTCGCCACACTAACCTGAAGATGTGAACGCCCCAGTCAATCTGATGGCGCACATACGGTCATTGATTGGAATCTAGTCGATCAGAGAAGTATCAGGCCGGCGTTTCAAAGTAATACTGATGTCGGTCAGACAGAATCTACCCCCGGATAGACACCATGAGAAAATGGCGACGGTCATTAAAAATAGAGCTAGTCTTGCAGGTGGATTTCCCAAAAGCAATATATGTAGGTCAATAGGGTCGCTGACTGTTGTCCGATATGTAACAAAGTGAGCACGTCGAGGATCGAGAGCTACAAACAGAAGCGGATGAACTAATATTGCCCGCTTGGTTGGACGCGGAGTTGCCGATGGGGCAATAGCAAGTGAGACTAAAGCAGAAGAAAGGTGCTTATCAATATAAGAATGGGGAAGGTCAATAAGCGAGAGTTCAAAGGAGGGAGATGGAATCGGATCGGGACGATAAAAGGGAAAAAGAGAATGAGAGAGAGAACAAGCATAGGAAAGGTTTGAGCAGTAGTACCTTCACCCCTACCCACCCAGACTGATGTATCAGGTAGGGTGTCATGGATTGTCTTATACGACAGCCAGATCACTGATATGTAGTTTGAATAGGGTTTTACAGTACTGCGTGAGCAGGAAACTGTCAGGCAGCTCAAGCGTAGATCTTTTACCTAAACAGCTGACTGTAAGACAGTGGAAATTTGGCAGTGGGATACAGGAAGACTGTCTAGAGGAATAAGGAGTCAGCCCCATTCCAACGTCAAACCTGGTAGGTAAGATGACTGAGGGTGTACGGTCCATAGTAATGGACCAAACTGGTATGAGTGGCTGTGCAGATGCAAAAACGCCAATCAATACACAAACCATAGCATCATGTTAGGAAACAGCTTCATGGAAGAATGAAACCTTCTGATCTAAGCTGTTGGCGGGTATCGTCAGCTGTACGCCGTAACAGTGCTTCACTGCCACATGACCACAACCAGTCACGCGTGGGCTGAGTATGTCGCATCTGACTCGACACTGGCTTGCGTCAAACTGACTGGCAGAGATTTATAAACAGTGATACTTATGGACATAGAAAACGCGCAAAGTTTACGAGGACACAATGTGGGGGCGAATGCGTGGGATGCAAGGAGAGAAGTAAAAGTATGTATTTTTGCAGACTCATAGGTGGCGATGGGCTTGATCGTAAGAAGCATAAGGAGATGAACGACATTGTTTCAATGGCCATTACGCAGCACTTCATAAGGATCATGCGGAAACCACCCATCCCTAGGATAAATAGCATACCACTTTGAGGGGAAAAGAAGTGTGGATGTACTTGACTACCGAAATGCAAGTGAACGAAACGACAGAAAAATATCGCCCCAAACATTATGTCTTCGCATCACAATATGTAATCCACGTTACGAGAGAAGTCATACTACGCATAAAAATGTTTGTTGCCGGAGACATACAAGCAAATATCATAGCAAACAAAGGTCTGTATTTGGAGGGTAAGGCGAAAGCTTGTTTTAAAAGCGTTCCATTATGGACCCCGATGTGATAGGAGTAACCAATCGGAAAAAACCAACGGGATCAAAGAGGCGAATCGACAATCAACCGAACTCAAACGATAAAGAGCTTGCTGTTAGACGCACAAGAGACAGCCAACCGTCAACGAATCTCTGGTGAAGAGTATCAGAAATACTGCGCACATCGTACCGAGGCTTCGCCGACACATGCCCACTACCAGTCACCCGCAATTACACGGATTCGAACCGGTAACCTACGGACTACAAGCCAAAGGTGTAATCTCTTCGGCCACCGGCCGAACCTCTGATGAATAACTGATAGCGTATGGATACGCCACAATAATTTGCATCCAGGTAGAGGAAGTCGCTCTTTTGAGGTACATTCAGCCATTTTAAACGCCAATGCGGCCGCATGTTTCCCAGGCTCAGTTATGCTGAATAAACTGCTTGTCCCGAAGAAAAGATTCGTGTGAAACTGGAAACCAATAGCAAATATGCACTAGCGGCGAAATAATGGATGATATCGGAAGAAAAGATCAGTCATAATACGTACCTGTAGTCCAAGATGAGTACGTTGCCACCTTGAACAAAAACGTAGCTACTCTTAAGGAGCAACCATAAATCCGTCGGAGGATTTCTAGAGACGAATCTCCAAGGCAACAGGTACAAGTCCACAAATAAACGGTTGAGAAAAAACACGAAACTGTACGAGAAATCAATGTATTGCCATCATCCGAAGGAAAGAATGAGCTACATGCGAGTTCCGGTCATTTTGGTCCACTAATTGGTTGTCGCGTCGATTGCAGAGTCTGTGTCATCATCAGCTTGCCCATCGTCTGTCCTGCCATTTGCGACAAGCTTGAGCAGTAAAAGTCCAGCTGGCCGGAAATTAGAGCGGTATCTAAGCGAATAGGAGCCAGCTCGCGTATGCGGGCTTCTTGATTAGACTGAAAAGAGGAAAGTAGGTTGATCGAAAAAGGAAAAAGCGAAGAGAGGCAGGTTAAAAAGACACTAAAGACACCGTTATACCGCCTGCTTCGTTAAGTATGATAACAACAGATTCGAAAGATAACGTTGGAATGACAAGGGAATTAAAGGCTGGGGAGCATAACGGAAAATAAGTGGCAGAAGCAGTAGATCGTAGTGCGAACAATGAACTGAGAAGAAATCGATTTTTAATGGTCAAGAACTTCCAGGCAAGAGTAGCGATTTACGGGGGCAAACTGAAGAGCACGTCAAAAGTTTCATGGGTGACTGTAGCGAGCCAAGCACAAGCAGCTAATTATAAAATAGAATATATCCCACTACATACCCGAGCTAGGAAAAGTCAAAGCGATACAATGACGTAAACTGGTAATGACACCAATTGTGCAATGCTCAGGATTGATTTTCGGGGCCCAATTTTCGTGGCTAAGTCGATAATCCGAAACAGTTCGATAATAAACGATTTCCTGTAAGTAGACGTATTTGAAAACAATTTGTTGATCGAATATGTGGGCAACGTTTCGTTTCTGACACAAAAGCTTCGTCAGACCAAGTGAACCAGTGAATGTTAATGGAGACAGGCACAGCTAGATTCAGTTGGTCATCACATACGCAGAGGTAATGGATGACGATTTCAGTTTTCCTTGGGGACAATAGTAGCGCGAACCACCTTCGATCTAATAGGGATGGGCCATGAGGATCCACTTATGCAGGACAGTGAATATCAACTGAAGACCACAGAAGAAAATACAACTTAATGGCACCAATCGATTAAATGAGATAAGTCGTCACTGTGGCTACCTAAGGATAGGGGCACCGAATCAAAGTACATTTGGCTGGCCTCTTCTCTCACAGAGAATATCAAAATACAAATAATGCGCTATAATGCCGCAGGCAAGTAGTCAGGGGCCATCAATGATGTGACGTCAAGGATCTGCCCGTTCTTAACATTCAAGGAATAAAACAGGAGACTCGTTTAACAAGAAATTCGCCTCCAGTAATAACGCCAGGCTCCAAACAATACGGTTCGCAACTGGAGTCGCTCGTAGGATGACAGCCACGAACTAAATGACGTCAAGCCCTTAATGGACTCCAAACACAAGAACAAAGACCATGAAATATGAAAACTGTTTAGATGAACGCGATTATACAACTGGAGATGTGGTGAATTGAGCCTGTAAAAGTAGTCACAGACATTTCGTTGTAAATACGCAAAACGCACAATCGATGAGTAAGAGCAAATGAGTGGATTGGCTTAGAGAAATTGTTAAAACGAAACGTACCTTTCCCAATCCAGAACCTTGTGACTTGGCCAAATTCCGTTGGTAGAGATACTGATAATCATGCACCGTGTCCAGTCCGGCAAGTAGAGACCGCAGTTGTTGTTCGAGGCTGGATGCCATGCTCAGATTGAGGGCGGAATATAGGCCGGGGTGATCGCTAGGAAGTGGAGGTGCCAGATCTAATATAGATGAATTATTCGACGAAGTGGATTTGGAAAGTTCATGGTCACTGACAATGTCCGACAAGAGGATGTTTACCAAATGTGAGTTGTTAATAACCACAGGAATTTCGTCAAGAATGCGGGTGAAGGTGTTGCGCCCCAGGGCCGATGCAGCTTCCTAATAGGCGGTAAGATAAATCAAAAAGAAGTGGTAATAACAAATCTCCCTTCGCTGAAGAAAAAGAATGTACGTATGGACGGAGGAGTTTGAGTGAGACTGCTAGCTTACGCAAAGGTAATAGGTTCGTTGGTTGAATGGTATGAATGAATGCGTCAGGTAAGGTCAGGTCACATAACCAGAAAGCAATATGAAAACGAATCGTACAGAATCCAAGCGGTAAACGAATGATCCTGACTGACTGCCAATAAAACATAACTGGGGTGGATGGAATGGCATGTTCCAGTGAAACAGCACTGCGCATGAGCTGATCAGAATACCTTTGTTATAGGTCGAAAGAACCAAGTAATCGGAATTTATCCTGTAGGGCCAGCACCAGTGGCAGAAGAAACTACTGAGTTCGTGGGGGGTTTAGACTTCATTGCACGTTACATAGGACTGCGTGAGAATGACATATAATTCAAGTCTGTAAGTTCAATCGATCGGAATGAGATGTTGTTAGTTATGGAGGAGATGGTATTCTCATCGTATTCCACCGCGAAAATAATACCAATAGGTGATCGAATTTATAATAATTCCTATTAGGTGGAAGAAACGTAGTAGCAATTGTTGAGGGGGAAATTACACTTCAGCAATCGGTTGTGTGTTTAGAAGACGAAATTACAGCACGCTAGACAAAAAGCTATGTGGTCTATCGTTCTGGTAATGTCAAGGTTTACAACGAGACAATGGAAATGGGAATGATCATTCAGATACAGACGAGATGAAAACACTTCTAGGAGACATTCAATGTAATTTGTTTGGTTAGCTCTATACCCGGTAACAGAATACTGCAGTGACCATACCAGATGAACCGCAAGTGGCGTCCGAATCGTTCGCATCCCATTTCCGCATAGGGTGAGTGACTAACAGGTAGAGCACTTGTAACCAGCCCATCGAACAAGTGCGGCCCCCTTACAAGAACTGAGGCAAACGGGCCCGCTGCACCCAAACGCTCAAAGCAATGTCCGCACTTAAAGCTGAGCTGTCTTTTATCGTTTGGCAACCTGATCCAAAAAACACAGCTTCGGCGCGCAAACGCCTAGAAGAACAGTGTAAGAGTAATTCCGACCTGGTATAGTGGTACACGCTCTTTAAATCCGAAAACGTAAAATCTTCGAAGTGAAGCCAGACAAACTCGGTGTGCCACAACGTCACTAGCAACATTGTACGTTAGGCAAAGGCGAGAGACAACTCAGCTATAGTGTCGCAATATAAGAAGTATATGAAAAAGCGAGATGGTAAACATAGTGGTATACAAAATAAGTACTAAAAAAATAAGTGATGCGGTGTTTAGTATCATTTCATGTATGAAGTGTGAGTGTGTGGTTGCAGGTAAAAGAAACAACACAAATGCCACTGAGGTCGAGTCTTGTCCAAGTCAAACAATCGAATCCATGCAAACGCATTCATCGCCATTGAGACCTTAGTCCGGCAGTCGGGAAGCACCAAGTGAAGCCAACTTAAAAGTGAGGGCTTTCATTCTCTTGATCAGGTCAACGCTTGGTCTCCCTCTACTTCCATCCACACCCCGGTCGCGCAAACAACGTAGGTGTCAGGATTCAGTGTGCTGGCATGCACAATACGTGGGCCAGCCAACGGAGCCTGGAGTGTGATATAATGGCGTTGAGCGATTCACTCGCAATTCCCGTAACAAATGCAAGACGCTGAACACGCTCGTTGTTGCTTGTTCCTTTTCGATGACACAATGCGGATAACAACCCTTGTGAATATCCATGAGGAGCTGCGTCAGCTCGGCGTTGGTAGCTTTGCGTTATAAAATGTACCCAGCACTAACGAGAATTATTCAGGGAGCCACCACAAGTTGAACAGAGCGTGCAGAAATCCGGCGGCTGATGATATGTCTAACGAAATTGCAAACGACAGTGGCGGATTTGCGTGTGCTATTCCGGATGTGTACCTGAGAAGCCTTGACGCGTGGGTGTGGACGATTCTTCAGGCGAGAAGACAACATCTCTAGCGACACTGTTTGGTAGTACCAAAACTTAGAGAAATATTAGTAGGCCCAAATAGGTGATTCGAAGTGACAGACACCGAATTGATTTACGAAATGCTATGCAGCATGCCCCATGGCACATGTTAGCGTGGTATTCAATCTGCGTCCAAGAATGACTAGCCGGAGATATTCCGGAGGCGATAGCACCGTAAGCTAGTACTGGGGAGGAACAAAACGTGGCCTGCAGAGCTGAACGAAGCGATCACAGTTTCCTGTCCTGCTGACCCAAGAGATGGCATTCATGAGCACCGGGTTTGCCGAGTTGTGCGCTTAAGTCCGCACCAAGTGTCACGATGTCCGAGCGACGTTTTTACAAACAATATTGGAGAGTTGACGGTAAAACACATCGTTAGATGAGTCTAGTCCGCAATCCATGGAAGCAAACAGCGTTCAGTGGTCTCACAACTGGACAATCGTACGGCACAATGGGGAAAGGAGTGAGAGGAAGTGGCTTGTGAACAGGAGGCACTCTCTGGCTATCCATACAAAGAGAGCGATGAGAAATGGCTCCAAATTGCAACGTTTTATGCGACTGTCTAGACCAGAGAGAAAAGTGGAATAAATTCAACTAAGTAGTACAGCTGTGGCGTTTCACACAGATCTGCTTGAGACCAAGCACGAGCAATCTTATGAGGCGTAAAGTAAATACCCTAGCATGCTACACACCTGCAATCACAGTCAATACTGAGCATATTTGGGAGGGGTTCTGGACTTGAGGCATGCAGAGGTAAATCATTGAGTTGCTCATTTGTAGACTGAGTTTCGAGAAAAAAGAAATAGGCATCAACACTATGTGGATATGCAGTACCGAGGCTTCGATGCCGCGCAACCATCACCGGTCGCATGTGCGTGGGTCACTCGGTTCTTACGCAAGCTCGAACTCACGCCGTCAGATTAGAAGAAAGGCTTGTTACATTTAGGCTACGGGCCGACTGAGTTTTGAGAGGTCATCGACATATCGAGGATCTGTTAGTCTTTATCGAACTATGAACAATGAACAATGAGTTATCCCGGGATAAAAGCAAGTGCTTGACACGTCCCGTAGGATGGTTGCGGGGAATATGATGAAATCAAAATATGTCTGGGTCATCTATCGAACGTTTGCCGAGATGAATAATTTGATAATTAACATCAGTGTAAAAGTAAAACAAATTATCGAGCGTAAACGTTCAGAAAGAAACTGGGGTGCAGTGATTGTTGAGGTAAGGAGTGAGAAACGTAAAATATGGTCGCTCACTTAGGTCCATTTGATACATAAATCCCGTTGAGAACATGCTTGACGTAATCCACAATAGAGGAGCTTAGGTAACAAAATGTTGGGAGCTAAGAGCAACATCTAGTCGTTTTTTGAAAACATCCAAGGTAGGAGAGGATACCACTGAGTCTGGGAGTGCGTTCCAGGGTTGGCAAACCCGAAGGGAAAAGTAATTCCGTCGACACTCTAGACGACTATATTGTTCCTTCAACTTTAAGCAGTTACCTCTGAGCTGCGTGTTGTGGCTAAGTTTTAGCAAATGGCGGCATACGTGGTTGGGGTCACTTAGTATCTGATACGCTAATATGAGATCGCCGCGCAGCCTTTGATAACGTCCGCTGAAAATTCCCAGCAACTTCAGCCTTCGGTGGTAAGAGTGATAGTGCAGGCCCTTTACATTCTTTGTTGCTCTTCGTTGTGGTGCCTCTATCGCTTCTAGGTCGCGCTTCAACCAAGGTTGCCAAGCTTGGATAGCGTATTCCACATGCGGGCGCACGTAGGAATTGTGCATCATTGGGAAGATTGGTGGGTCAAATCTCCCGAATGCCCTTCGCAGCATGCCGACGTGCTGGTTGCCTCTTTTCGCCGCTACCTCAGCCTGTTTTGAACAATTGAGGTCGCTCTGTACGATCACACCAAGATCACGTTCCTGGGAGTTATTCTGCAATCCGTTTGTCCCAAGTATATAGGTGTAGTTATGTTTGTGGCGTATTTGTACAACGCGACATTTGTCTACGTTGAACGGTAGGGCGTTTTGAACTGACCAGTTCGACAATGTGTTAAGATCGCACTGGAGCCGTTCATGGTCGTCCGGTCCTCTGATCCTTCGCCATATCTTGATATCATCAGCGAAGAAGAGGAAATCGGAAGTAATTGATCTCGCCAAATCGTTAATGAACACCAAGAATAGACGAGGTCCAAGAACCGAGCCTTGTGGTACTCCACACGTCACATCGATTGCATGAGAAAATGATTCTCGGACTCTCACCACTAGTCGTCGTTCCTGTAAAAAATTGCTAATCCAAATCAGGATTGGATCGCCAATACCGTAGTTCCGAAGCTTCTGAAGGAGAGTGCGATGGTCTAAGCGATCAAACGCTTTTGAAAAGTCCAGGTAGATGACATCGACTCCCACTCCATCATCAACAGCTTCAGTCCAGCTATTACCTGCACGTGTGGCTCTGAAGGAACATGGAAATCGCCCCCACCCGGTTTATCCCGAATGGTAAAGAAAAAGTGCAACCCACCACACCACGTTAGAATTCTTCAAGAACAAGAACCGCTATAACCCGACGGGCCACAAGCGATAAACCGGGTCACAGTTCACAATCTTGCGATCAGATCAAGTCAAGGAAAGCTTTATGCACCCAGATGGATGCACTTTCCGCATTTTATATTATATACCACAAATGTGATAAAAGAGCATCAGTATATATGATAATATTGCAATTGCAAAAACAGGATGGATAAAGAGTACACAGATGTCACTTAAGTAATCAGTCCCGCATGTTTGAGAAACGACCGCATATTGATAGAGCGAGTGTTAACATTCTTCATCCAGTTGACAAGACCAGCTTTGATAAAATGTTTATTGATAGTTCGTTTCATTTAGATAAAAGCAGCAAACTGCGAATTATGCGCGGTGTCTCGGATACATTTTCAAAGAATCGGGGGTGTTGAACGGCCTCC